GGTTCTTTCTTCTTTTTTTTTTTTTTTTTTTGCAAAAAGCAACTTTTCCTTCTTTCTTCTCTTTTTTTTTTTTTTTTTTTAAGAGGGCGAATCAGTCAGGCTTAGCCGTGGGAAAACACCAACGATCCGGGCTGGGATTGGCAGGGACACGGTGAAATCATCCAGCGGGGGGGTGCTTGCGGATACAATGAGGTCTGTCTGCACTTCCTTAAACTCTCAACAACCTGCTGCAGTTGGAAGCGGCTGGGCCCCGGGGGGGGGGGCCTGGCTGCTAAGGTCACAGACGTTTGGCACCCCTGACCTCCGCCCCCAGGGGGTGATCGCACCAGCTGTAGACCCCCCCGAGACCCTTCTTAGTAGATGGTTGAGGGTACATTAATTTGTTTTGTTTTTTTTATATAGATTGTAAGTGCGATCTGTCAGGGCGCTTTAATGGCCAGTCCCCTAATTAGACCCCCAGTCCCCTAATTAGACCCCCAGCGGAGAGTTTGTCATTGGAAAGTTAGTGTTTGTCAATAATAAAAGGCCCCGCCATTGTAAAGAAGGGCAGAGGATCAGCAACTTTGCACCTGTTTAGTAAACTGCGGCACACACAGGATACAATCTGATTGTACAATCTCCCTCATGGTGGCCGTGCGCGCTGCCAGTTTTTAATTCAATTGATGTGCAATTTGATCACATGCTCCTTTATGGAGGTTTCAATGTGATCGATCAAAATGATCGAATTGGCATAACTTTTCTTTTGATCGATAGACACACTTTCAATCGATAGACACACTTTCGATCAATAGACACACTTTCGATCACATTCAGTCAAACCAATTTGATTGACTGCGACGGAAATGTATTGATTGTTGCTTTGCTCAGGAATTTGATCGCAGTTGGATCAATCAGATTGTAAGATTCCATAGTGAAAACATAAATGTGATCGATAACTCATGATTGTATATTCCAGCTGTTGATCGGAATCAACTTCTCTGCGTGTGGCATATCGATTGAATGGTTTATCTATAAATTGATTATGCCTATTGGGAGAGATCGATCGATCGTAAAGGAAAGTGATCATTTAGCAAAGTGTGTATGGCCACCATTTGAGCAATATGAGGACCTACCTAATCTATCCAGTCGTATCATATCAATCGTTTGGGTTGTCCATGATAGATTTCCTATCAGGAGAGATCGATCAGAAAGGAAGAAACCAGTTATATGGCCACCACTGGATGTATACAAGGACCTACCTGAGCTGTCTAGTCATGTCATATCAATCGTTTGGGTTGTCCATGATAGATTATTCCTATCAGGAGAGATCGATCAGAAAACAAGGCAACTATTTATATGGCCACCATTGGAGTTATACAAGGACTTACCTAAACTATCCAGTTGTGTCATATCAATCGTTTGGGTTGTCCATAATAGATCGATTATTCCCATCAGGAAAGATCGATCAGAAAACAAAGCGACCATTTATATGGCCACCACTGGATGTATACAAGGACCTACCTAAACTATCCAGTTGTGTCATATCAATCGTTTGAGTTGTCCATGATAGATCGATTATTCCCATCAGGATAGATCGATCAGAAAACAAAGCGACCATTTATATGGCCACCACTGGATGTATACAAGGACCTACCTAAACTATCCAGTTGTGTCATATCAATCTTTTGGGTTGTCCATGATAGATCGATTATTCCTAAAAAAAAAGAAATGGATCATTTATGGAAGCCTGTATAGCTACAGTAGTGTAAGGTCTCGCCTGATTGGATACAGATTGATAGGGTAGATCGGGTAGGTCCTCCTATCACAGGGATTGTAAAGTTGATTGTATGGTCAGATTGTACCGTGTATGGTCAGATTGTACCGTGTACGGTGAACATTAGTCTCTGTCTGCCCCATCCTGTTACATCTGTCTGTTAACAGGATTATTTACAAAGTTCTTGTTTCTAGGTAATAAATCAGAATTTCTCAGTCTTTATTTAACAAATAAGTGTCCCTGGAAGTCCAGGACCCTTGAAGTTGCATGTCGGAGGCATGCGATGGAGCGGAGCTGCATTGTAGTGTACGGTGGGGCCCCCCTGCAGTTGCTCGGTGAAGGCGTCGGGCAGCGTGTTGACCGGACACAATGGTTGCTAAGCGCACCTGTACGTGTGCGGGAAGTTGCCCGAAGTTGGCCATCGGCCGTGCTTTCTTGCCTGGTCTGGGCGGCCGTCTAATCGATGGCTATAAATGGGGAAGTTGGGACTTTAAAAGGCAGCGAGCGGCGTGGTTGGCTGGTAGCGAGATTTGCAGTAACATATGGCATTAAGAGGAGCACAGCTGGAGGTAGCGCTTCCATCCTAGTGAAGGCAGAGCAGCTGACTTTCCAGCTTGCTGTGTAATTAGCAGAGCCAGCTCTCTCTCTCTTTTCCTGCCTCCTCCTCCTCCTTCACACTCTCACACTGACACAGGGACACACCGCCACCGCTCTTCTGTCTGCTTCCAGACCTGCTACCACCACCAGCCATGGCACAACAGAGAGCCCGCTCACCCTAACAGTCCCCGGGGTACACCCCGACAACTGGGGGGGAGGGGGGAAGGTAAGGCTTGCCAAAAAAATTGGAACTATCACTTTAAGGGCATTTTTTTTTCTTTCATGCTCCCTTGTTGTAAAACTTTACTTCTGTCTTCTTTTTAGCTAGATTGTGTTACCTGCATTGCATGATATTGACCATTCGTAGGATCACGTGTTACAATCTGATTGTACAGGCTTCTTAAAGCTGGCTGTACACTATACAATCTGTACAGGCTTCTTAAAGCTGGCTGTGCACTATACAATCTGTACAGGCTTCTTAAAGCTGGCTGTACACTATACAATCTGTACAGGCTTCTTAAAGTTGGCTGTGCACTATACAGTCTGATTGTACAGGCTTTTTAAAGCTGGCTGTACACTATACAGTCTGATTGTACAGACTCCTTAAAGCTGGCTGTACACTATACAATCTGATTGTACAGGCTTCTTAAAGCTGGCTGTATACTATACAATCTGATTGTACAGACTTCTTAAAGCTGGCTGTACACTATAAAGTCTGATTGTACAGACTTCTTAAAGCAATCTGATTGTACAGGCTTCTAAAAGCTGGCTGTGCACGATACAATCTGATTGTACAGGCTTCTTAAAGCTGGCTGTGCACGATACAATCTGTGCAATCTCCTTTAGATCTGCCAATAACTGAGGCAGGGATATGGGATAGAAATCAATTGGATTGTATAGGTTTGACCTCCTATGACATAATTTTGGTAAATGTCAGTCAATACAATCAGATTATAGCATGTATGGCCACCCTTAGATCTGCCAACAACTGCAAGGGGCCTACATGATTGGATAGATTAGGTAGGCCCTTTATACTGCATAGATTTGGCAAATCTAAAGTTGGTTGGACAGACAGATTTTAACGCTTTTGGTGAATTGGTAAGACTGTATAGGGCAGTAACCCTGAGCAACTAGGCTTAAACAGTCTTTGGTGACAGTTGAAGTCTGGTTACTATGGTTACAGACACTTGCCTAACTAAGTGTGTATGGGTGTGTGTATGTATGTAAAGTTTTATTTTTATTAGAATGTTATATGTTTTATTTTTATTATGTTTATTTTTTCTTGCGGTTGGGTTTAAATATATATATATATATAAAATATATTTATTTATTTTTTTTATTATTATTTTCTTTTATTTTCCTTTTTTGTTTTTTCTTGCTGTTGTTTTTACAATATATTTTATTTTAGATATATTTTTTATTTCTTTTTTTCTTGCTGTTTGTGTTTTTCATGATTTCTATTTTATAGTTTTGTATTTTACTTTTATTTATTTTTCTTGCTGTTGTGTTTTGTATGAGATATATCTATTTTTTATTTGATTTATCTATTTAGTTTTTTGCTGTTGCGTTTTTGTCGTTGTCGCTCGGAGCCTCCTAGTAGTAGTCCAAGTTGCAGTGAAGTTCCAGAGACCTGCCCAGCCTTTTTTCTGTTTTAAAAGGCAGCGGTTTCCATAACTACTCGGCGCCTCCGATCGGCTGCACTGACCAGGAGGGGACAAAGCTTTCAAAATTGCCTTGTGGAAGCCATTGTTTATTTAAAATCTAGTTTTTCCTGTTCCTAGCAGGTGCAGTTAAATGAGAGGCTTGCCTGGAAAAAGGCAGCTTGCTGTAGAGAGAGAGGATTGTACGGTTGGACGTTGTGTGCTTGTATTTTCTTTTCCTTTTTTTTTTTTTTTTTTTTTTTTTTTTTTTTTTTCTTGTCTGTTGCCAGCCAGCTCTGGCTATTGCAGCTGCTAAGAGGATTTGAGTTTACAGTAACGATCAAGTTTTTCCTGTTTCTGAACAGGTTATGAAGGAAGAATGGAGTTTCCAGACCATAGCCGACAGTTGCTGCAGTGTCTGAGTCAGCAACGTCACCAGGGTTTCCTGTGTGACTGTACTGTTTTAGTTGGGGAAGCGCAATTCCAAGCCCACAGAGCCGTCCTGGCCTCCTGCAGCATGTACTTCCATCTCTTCTACAGGGACCAGCTAGACAAAAGGGACATTGTCCATCTGAACAGTGACATTGTCACGGCCCCGGCCTTCAGTCTGCTGCTTCAATTCATGTACGAAGGCAAGCTGGAATTCGGCAGCCTCCCGGTGGAGGACGTGTTGGCTGCCGCCAGCTACCTTCACATGTATGACATTGTCAAAGTGTGCAAGGGCAAGCTGAAAGAGAAAGAACTGAAAAATGGAGAGGATGGGTCCGAGCAGGAGAAGGACGCGTTCTCGGACGGCGAGGAGCCTCGGAGACGGGGCGGTGAAAATAAAGAGAAGAACTTTGCGGTGGAGGACGCCTTGCCCGGTTGGTCTCCTAATTCCATAGGTGTCAACTCGGCTCCCATCGAAGCTGTGTCGTGTAGGACAACAGCTGGAACAACAAAGGCCGGTGTCACCAGTTCTCCTTGCCCTTTGTCCCAGAGGTCTGCTAACCATACACAGGCTCCGAGTGATGGGGATTGTGCTCTGGATTTGTCTTTCAAGCCCGTGTCTGGGAAAGATTCCTTCCACCCCTCCTACGTCTTTGGACAGCTGGCTTCCGACAGCCAGCAGCAGGGCACGGTGCCACTTGTTAAAGATGAACAAGACTTGCTGTCAGAACAGGAGGACAGTGAGGCAAAGAGTCCAAAAGAGTCAGCATGTTGGGAATCCGGCCAAAAGCCTCATGACGGGGCTGGGACACATGTTCGCAGGAAATGGGAACTCACATGTTCGGGAGGACGACTTGTACCACGACCGCGACGAGAGCGAGGACGACATGGATTCCTCTGACATCTCCACCTCAGGCGTCCTGGTCTCCCCGGGGCAGATTTGCATCTGCCCCCTGTGCAGTAAAGTTTTCCCCAGCCCCCACATCCTTCAGCTCCACCTCAGTTCCCATTTCCGGGACCGCGACGGCTCCCGCATCAAGATGTCCCCCGATGGCTCTGTCCCCACCTGTACGATATGTGGAAAGACCTTCTCCTGTATGTACACATTAAAGAGACACGAACGCACGCACTCGGGCGAGAAGCCCTATACCTGTGGCCAGTGCGGCAAGAGCTTCCAATATTCACACAACCTCAGCCGCCACGCGGTGGTGCACACGAGGGAAAAGCCGCACGCCTGTAAATGGTGCGAGAGACGGTTTTCACCCAGTCAGGTGACTTATATAGACACATTCGTAAGTTTCACTGTGGCCTGGTGAAGTCCTTGGTTGTCTAGTAATGAATGGGGGCTTATCCGGGATGGCACAAAGCCATGGGTCTTGTTCAGTAAGTCTTGGCAACCAATCAGAAGTTGTCTTTTTTTTTTTAGCAGACTTGTCTTCGGTATTGTCTGGTTGCTGTGGGTTGCTGGACATTCCCCATTGTGTTGGCTTTTTACCTCTTTTTATTGCATAAGCCCACTAATGTTATTCTCCTTCAGCTGAACTGTGTAAGAACCTCAATAATCGCACCGGTACGGCATATCACGCTGAAGCCCTCGCTTCCTCTGCAACTCAACACGTGTGTTTAGGGAAGGTTGTGGTTTCCTGCAGGGGACTCGGCAGTAGGCTGGGGGTCCTATACAAAGCAATGAGAGGCTGACAGCAATGGCAGCCATTCACGGCTGTAACCGGACATGCAGCGATTATCTGCGGATGACCATTTGCGTCCAGGGCCAATCAGCCACAGGTAATCACTGTAATGTGAATTGCTGCAGCTGCTGGCATCCTACCCGCAGCTGTTTCCAGAAACCTCGTAAGTCCCCTCAACCCTTCACATGTCATCGGACATGCAGCAATTACCTGTAGAAGATCGGCCCTGGATTGTTTAGTGTCTAAGACCAATCATCCACAGGTAATTGCTGCAAGCCAAAGTACATGCGATTGGCTCAGGCCACTGTCAGCCCACTTGCAGGGACCCCGCTGAGTCTCCTGCAGGAAATCGTAATCGGCCCCTAAACGCATGTGTGCATGGGGGGCCCCAAACCTATGTTCTCTTAGTCAAATTTGATGGTATGTGACAATGGCAGAATATTCCAACATGAGTTGTATTTATCACCAGTTTTGTTCCATTGAGCTTGTTCAGGCTTTTAGATTGCTTGCTATTGGGGGAATGTAGATACTAGTAGTCTTATACAGCCAAACCACAGTGATCCACCACAACCAATCATCAGAAGACATCTATGTACTGATTTACCTTCAGTAAACTGAAATCCTATTGGCTGCTATTGATCACTGCTCCTTGGCTGTCTTCTGTGCTCCTTGCACTGTCTTATTAAATATAAGGAACATCCAGGGGTCCGTTTATCCATGTTTTCATTCAAGATTGACACAAACCTGAGATTCACATATTTATCAGTTCAAACATTGTGTGAATCTTGGGTGAAAGCCCCTATGTTGGGAAATGCAAATGGTATTTAGAAGCACTGTATTGGATATGTTTAGCGCTCACCCCACATGTTGCAATTTGTACGATCTCCTTCAGTTCAACCAACAATTATATAGTGCAAGGACCTACTACCTGATTGGGTACAAATTGATTACATAGATTAAGTAGGTCCTTTTATTATATAGGTTTGGTAAAACCAAAGTTAAATCTACAATCCCTGTACATCTACATGTAATGTAATAGGAGGACAAACCTATACAAGCCATTCACTTTCTACCCAGCTGCACAGGCCCTTATGTTAGATTAGATTAGTAGATCTAAAGGGGAGTGTACAATCTGATTGTATAGTGTATGGCATAACATGTATTGTATGTTTCTGACTGTACCATCTATGTGTAATCAACTTTAGATCTAGCGGACCTATGTAATATGAGGATTTATCTAAACTATCCAATCAGGCAGGCCCTTGCACTACATTGATCTTGGTAGGATTGTATAATGTTTGGTCTGCTTAAGTAGATCTAAAGAGGACCGTACAATCAAAGTGGAACCTGCAAAAAAGTCTTGCAACATGTGGTGAGCTGTAGTCAGTTTACAGCAAGTGAAGCAATATGATTGGTTGGTTCCTGAGGGTTATTGGGAATTGCAGTTTGCCATAGTTGAATGCTGTCTGTCCAATCGTTCTTTAGATAATCTGCAGTCGCTGCAGCCAAACTGGTTTAGCCTAAGGATGGTGTCACACTGCCGTGCTGCGGTTTGGCCACAGCGTGGGTGCAGCGCAGTGTACTTGCAGTTCTCATGTAGGTTACCTGCGGTTTTCCATAGACTTCTATTAGATCGCATGTTTTTGGTGCGTTTTTTGAAAGCGCCCCAAAAGTCCTACATGCAGCATCTTTGGTGCGCTTTCAGAAAACGCACTAAAAACGCTCAAACTAATAGAAGTCTTTAGGAAACTGTGGGTAAACGGCACAAAAACCATGGGTGCACTGTGCTACAACCAAACCGCAGCATGGTAGTATGAAAATGCCCTTAGGCTAAGGCATCCCTGGGGCAGGGAGCAATCATTGAAACATCCCATTTAGTAGAGCGGGTCCTTCAAGAGCCTGTTCAAGCCTAGGAGGACAAGACTGGTAGTAAACACTGGGTATAAAGCAATTCTTTCTACTCTTCTGATACTTTAACGTATAAATATATTTAATATCTGTCCATATAATTGTTGCAGATAAAAAGAAATTGGTGGAAAAAAAAAAAAAAAAGACCCAAAATGTTAATATTTGAAAGTATCCTTCTTATGTATTGGAAAACTTCTGTATTCCCATTGAGTGTCTCCCAACTTTTCTAAGTTTTAAATATTCAGTCATTTATGTATTGGTGATGCGAGTGACATACTGTGCAGCCTTTGCTGGTTATGCCCAGCTTGAAAAATATCTGCCCTTTCATTGAATTTTTACTACCTACTCTTATAGCAAGGATGATTTACTAAAAGAGTTGTGAATGTTCACATAAATTGGGTGAAAATTCACTTCCGTAGTCCAATCCCTGTTTACTTGTTTCATCTGCACACCATTGGAAAATTAAAGTGCTTATTTACATAATTTATTGTATGAACATTCTCAACCACTTGGCTTCAGTGTCTGAATATGACCAAGTGTGGCCATTGCAAACTTAAACGTGTGTTGTGCAGGTTCGCCCCCCCCAGTCAAATTTTTTTTTTTTTTCTCTTTTGGTGAAAATTTGCCAACGCAGGACAATTTCTGCATTCAATATTAAACTAATTTATCAAAGCTGACGACGAAAAAAAAAGAAAACGCAAGCAAAGGTGAAGCTGCTGTCCAGAAGGGTCGGTCAGGTTCCATCCTTCGCCCAAGGGGCAAAGGAAGCACAAGAGCTCCGCCTCTCTTCCTTTTTTTTTTCGGCTCTACTTTTGATAAATTAGCCCTCACTGGGTAGTCTTATACATTACCACAAAGCATTTTACCCCAAATAAAATTGGGGGCCATATAGCTTCATAAATAATACAAAAATAGCTTCTTTAATTAAAAAATTGTAAATATTTTTAAAGCACTGGCCCACTGCAGATCTCTGAAATGCCCACACCATTTTTTTTTTTTGTAAAGTCAATTTGCTAGAGTCATTTTCACAGCTGTATATGAATCTGTCTCCCAGCAGTATTTATGAAGTGGACTTATAGTCCTCCAGAAGGCAAAATATGAGAACTGCAAGCCCCCCCCCCCCTTTTTTTAATTTATTATCATTGTTTTTTTTTTTTTCTTTCTTTTTAAGATTTAGACTAATAATATATTTGATCAGTGCTTGGCAAAGACTTCAAATCTTTCAGTATCTTGTCCTGAAAAGTATTTCTGTACATAATGGTCGGCAAAAAAAGGAACTGGTATCCCGCGGCACTGTTTTATTGCCTTACGCGATTGGCCAACTATGACTACTATTCCAGTTCTGTTTTATAACCCATGTTAAACTAATATAATATGCATACAGAGACTACTGATTGAAAGTATTGAACGTTTGATACATGTAAAAGTAACTACTATAGTCCAGTATTTAACATTCTGGTGTTAGAAAAGTCTCACCGAAAAATGTCATTTAATTGGCATGGCATAACCTTTCATTTTAAGCCTGGTGAAAAATTTCCTGTTGGCTTGAATTAACGGTAGCACAGAGACAGTGAAATACATATATTTTTTCTTATCATCTGAAATGAGTATTCTTAAAACATGAAAGGTATTTAACTGTGACAAAAAGGACCCCCCCCTTTTTTTTTTTTCTTCATTGTACAGGATACAGTGTTGCCTGATAACCATTATCTATCACAATCCACTTGAACAGTCCTACTGTTTAGCCGCTCTCTTGTGGCAAAGCAATTGTATCTAATAGTTTCAAACTTTAGGGTCTGGTGTACTCCCAAAAATCCTGCGAATGGCCTTAAAATGGTAAGACATTAAAAGGAATATAGAAAAGTGCAATCATAAGCTATGGCAACCGGTCAGAAACTTGAATTGAGCTTTCAGTGTTCAGGAAAAGAGAGCAAGCATCTGGTTGCTATGGTTTATAGCAAGCTAAATCACAAACTCTTCTCTGATGTCTAAAATGCTGCAGGAAGTGGAAAGTACACAGAAAAATGGGATATCCTCCCATTCACAGGATGCACTATTTTCTTTTTCTTTTTATACCAACATCAAAGTGCTGAAATAAAAAGTTGGCTTTTTGTTTGGATCTGTGTGAGGCCATCTTGGCAGTGAACAGTTAAAGATATATTGACTTAACATGCATTATATAAAATAGATGGACAACCTTAGTTGCAGAATTAAAAAAAAAAAAACAAAACATTTTCAAAATGCTTGTGTAATGTGAAACACATTTAAAAAGACAGTCCAATCTCTTAAACAGATTGCATTTTTATTTTTTTCTAAAGCTGTTACATTCATGTTGAAGGATCTATGATACTATATATCTTTTTTTTTTTTTTCTTTTTTTTTAATATATTATTTGTGTGAACATCAATGTTGGGTAGTCTGCACCAAGGTACAATAGTTGTATTTAATGTTTAGTTATATTTTGCTGTGATTGGAAATAGCACTGAAAAAAACTACTAAAATTAAGTTATTTTTTTTCTTCTTTTCCTGATTGTACTTGATATAGTATTTATTAGTTCTTATTTGAAGTGAAATGATTTATAATTAGAGATTTTATTTTAGTGTTCTGTTTGACCCCTTTCAAGTCATGTGATCATCTATGAAAAAATGAGATGATTTTTTTTTTTTTTTTGTATTTTTTTCTGCTGCGCTAAACTATTTAATTTATGTAAACTTTAATA